TATACTATGAGTTTAAAGTAACCATCTTCATATGTGCCTATTGAAATGGTTGGTCAGCTCTCTGTGCATTCTAGATTTCAGATTGGTGTTATCATCAATTTGGAAGATTCATGCTTAGCCTTGTGATGTCTTAAACCGGCAAAAAAAAAAGCAGTACCAGTTGCTTACAGTGTGGTAGTTCTTATTAATTTTTTTAATAATGCCTCCAATGTAGTTTGATCACGAGTTTTTTTTGTCTCAGTTTGCTCTTTGTTGTATTTTCTTAATGTACTATGTGCCTTCTCTCCTTTCTAACAGGTGATACCATGTGCTGTGCTAGCTTTGTGTATTCATCCAAGAACACGTCACTTCATAGTCAACAGGATTTGCTGGGCCTTTTGTGTTTACCTTGAATCTATTTCAGTGTTGCCTCAGCTGCGAGTAATGCAAAACACAAAGGTATGGCTGAGAATAACATGTGCACCTACTAACTTTCTTCTTAATCAATGCCCAAATAAAGGCTATTGTTGGGTTGTTTCTTTTAATGTGTACATGATCTTTACACGACTATTCTTGCTCATCTTTCTTTTATTCTTATTATTTCAGATTGTTGAACCCTTCACAGCAAATTATGTATTTGCGCTTGGAGTTGCCAGGTTCTTGGGTTGTGCACATTGGGTCCTCCAGGTTTGACAATGCAGCTTATAGATTTTGGGATATAACTTGGTTATGTTATTGGAAAATTGCATGGCCATTGTATCATGGACTATTCTTATTTGTTATCCATCTTGGCATCACCAATTACCATCAGATGTTTGTCGCCGTAGCACACTCGTCCAACACTAGGCAGAGGACTTTCATAGAGTAATGTTTTGTCCACAAGATTGATTAGTACACTAATATAACTGCCTAAAGAAGTAATTTTCCCCATGCATTTCATTTTTTTGTGATGCATGGATGACCATGTACAATTTTTTGGGTGTAATGATACCCACCCTCCTGTATCTTTAGGCACAAATACACATCAATTTTCTGCTTGCCCATCCCTACCCACGCGGACACACTCGATGCATTGTGCATATGCCTCAAGTGTAAAAGAATGCCTAAATAAATGTCTCATTCAGCTTCATGTAAAATTCTTTGTTACTCTGCTGTGTTTAGTGCTTGATGGCTTAGCATGAATCAGTTAAGGAGCCACGAATATCTGAGGATGCATTTCATATCTGTATACAGGTACTGGACACTCGAGGACGCCTATTGACAGCACTGGGCTATGGATTGTGGCCTCTTATGGTCCTACTTTCAGAAATTGTGCAGACTTTCATTCTTGCTGATTTTTGCTATTACTACGTCAAGAGGTGAGTAATGGCCATTCTTTTTTGGAAAATATAAATTACATTCTTTATGATCCATCTAACACATGCTTGGATAAATGCAGTGTTCTTGGTGGACAGCTTGTTCTAAGGCTTCCCTCAGGAGTGGTGTAAGCCAGTCTGCCTTGCAAAATCTGCGAAGTGTAGGAGGATGCTAGCTTTGGTTGCTCCTGGCCATCCAGATAGTGCGTGCAACGCTTGTTCTATCTTTTTCAGCCATTTGAGTTGTAGCAGGTGGACTGTAAAATTGGTCGCATTTTATGCTGGCATTTTGATAGCTTAATAATTAAATAGAAATATTTTCACGAACGGAATTAATTTCTCTTGTTGGATTGCTCCCTGGTTTTTGGTTTATTCAGTTTGGTTTTTTAATTTCTCGAGTGATTTTAAAAATAAATTTAAAAAAATAAAAAATATATTATTTTAATATATTTCTAAACAAAATACATTTTAAAACACTACATTCACTGCACGCTCACTCTAGACTCATTAGCTTAATCTCGTATAATTGTGGCATGCTCCATTTTCACGACCCATTTTGTACAGCTGTTCGCTTCCGACATGATCCAGCTGTGTGTGCATTGTGTATAAACTATCAATAAAAGGGAGACAATCAATAAATATACTAAATTAATATAAAATTATTTTAAAAAATATCAATTATAGTTCGAATAAAGAAAATAAAAGAAAAAAAGTGTAGACCCATCACAGCTGATGTGTGATGGAAGTGATTCCTCCTATTTGTCACTGGCATCTCTTTTGTTTTGTTTTTCCTTGTAGAATATCTTCTATCCCCTTTTTTATAAATAAAAGAACTCTTTTTCAGAAAGTCTACTTTAGCTTTGATTAAAAAATAAAATATTTTTCTTTGTAAAGCTACTTCTTTTTTTTTGCTAGAGACTTTCCTGTTTTATTAAGAAAATAAGGCCAAATTCAACAGGCCCTTGGATAATTTTTAGGTTAACTTGTTCATCATAAGAAAATGAGAGACTAGTTGTAAAGCTTGTAAAAAAAAAAAAAAAAACCTTCCATTTCTACAAAGTAATTCAAGATGACTGAGGCTCACCTCATTAATCCTTTTAACATATGAAGTAATTTTGGGTAAAATTTGGAGGATGACGTGGAGACATGGGATGACCGTCGATCAGCCATGGACATCCCAAGCTAAGTGATGAGGTTCGTTTCTCTAATTTTGATAATTCGATACATCTTCTCTTTATGGAATGGTGGGTAAATCATGCTTATTATCATAAAAAAAAATATTTTTTATATACATAGTTGGAGACTCTCCAACAATTAAATTAATATCAATTCAACGAAAGTTTAACTATTCTTTTGAAAAAATAGTTTTTTAGATATATTTATCATTATAAAATAAAGAGAGAGAAAAAAGACTTGTCTACAGTTTATCCTTTTTTCTTTTTATAATTCCTAAGTCCCTTCTTTTATTATAAAAGAAAAGATTAATATATTAACATGTCTTGTCAAAATAAAAAATCTGTGACATGTCAGGATAAGATATTTTTACCTTGCTAAGGTAAAACTTATATACGAGGATAAGATATCTGTCTTATTAGAATAAAAATATATTTAACTCATTAAAATAAAATATTTTTGACTTGTGAGCTTAAATTTTTTTTGGAGTTAAAAAAAAATATAAATCTAGGATTGATGTATTTAGCAAATTATCAAGGTCATAAATATTAAAAGATAATAAATCTAACATCTTGTCAAATTTATATACATCTAGACTCAACACTTATTTCAGTCCATAAATATTGCAGTCATAATCCTTTATTTGAGCACGCTTCGAAAGATAGTCCCATTAAAAATAAATAAATAAATGCCTCCGCATCAATAAGTAATCCATGTGAAAATTAAGCATTTGTGTGGAGGAAATTTTTAGCAAAGTGAACAGTATCCAATTCACTTGGGCATATCATGCTGGGAAAGAAGTCCCTTTCTTAATTTTGAAGGTTAAGCCACCAAGTTTGAATGCCAACGTCTCGGCAGATAAACTCTATTCAGTGCACTGTGATATTTGGTACGGTTTTGTATAGATAGATGGAAAAATTACAGCTTTAAGTCTATTGTCTTTATGTTGTCGACATCATTCGGTTGACTCGCTTAGATAATCGAGTCATAAATCAAAGCTTAATTAATAGCTAGTTTGGCGTCAAAATGAGTCCAACTTAACCCTCCAGTGCGGGTAATCTGGCAAAGCCAATTTGTCCTTGACGTGAAACTCTCTTCTTCGAAATAAAACAAATTAAAAACAGTTCGCTAGACCAGTGAACTTTTAGTATCCACCAGTAGATTTGTATGCGCTACATATCGTACTATTTTTTTCTAAATTTAAAATAAAATATTTAAAGTTTGGAGATTTTTTTCCTATGGTTATTAAATCTAATTAAAAAGTTTAATTTTAAAATTTTTTAACTTAATTTTTTATTTAACTTAAATTTTAAATTAAATTATATGATAGATAATTTAAAGTGAATCATCATATTTAATGAGTTTAAATATAACTTATATGGCTAGTAAAAACATAATATTTCTTTTAAAAAAATTTTAAAACAATAAAAAAAATTTAATATTAAAATGGGATAAGATTAGATTAGACTCTATTACTTGGTGATTTGATTTGTGAACTTCCATGAGTTTAATAAAAAAAATTTATAAATTTTTTTATTTAATTTTATAATAACATTAGATACATGTAAAATTGAGCACAAATCCTTAAAAAATAAATTATAAATTTTATTTTTTAACTAATTTAATATCGAAGAATAGTCAATTAAAAAAATTATAAAAATTAAAGGATCATAAACTAAAAATAAAATCAGATCAAGTTTGATGGGTAAACTCGTCAATCGGGTAATTCAGGTCAACACGTCAAACTAGCAAATCAGATAATAAACTCTATTAGAATTAATAATTTATTTTTTCGAAACAACTATTTATTTAATTATATGATAACAAAAATAAACGATCTCAAAATCAAGCATAAAACCAATATTTAGAGTTTTTTTAAAATTACGATAACTTCATGAAAAAACAAATTATAAAACTTAATTTTCAATCAGTTTAAAAATTAAATAATAAATAAAATAAATAAAAGTTAAACTTTCTAAGTCGGTCAACAAATTCGTAGAATTTCTAAAATTTAATAATATATTTAAAAAAAATAATTTATTATATAATAAAAATTTAAACAATTACATAATAAAATTTAGTTAAAAAAATACCCCGCTATTTATGGCTCTTGAGTTTCATAACTAATATCAATATCAAACACACAGTTACATTAAAACAAAGCATTTTCAACGACTCATTTTGAAAATGATTAGTCTTGCCATTTATGGAAGCTATTTTGGACTATAAAAGGCATGTTTTATAATTAATTAATGGGTTCGGGTACATATACTTGAGCATGCTCGGTGTGGGTCAGCAGGGATGCTTATGGTTTTTCTTTGAAAAAACACCCAACAAAACAACCGCTCTAGATAAGTCCTAATATATAACAAGTAACAAGCCACCATATTATAATTTGTAGGAGACCAGCTCTTAGTTTCGTATGTGCATGCCAGCAGGATGTCCCGTCCTTCCATGCACCTACTCTACCTTGTTGAAGCTGATCATGCTCTGGCTATAAATAGTGACACCCTTTCTCTCATTTCATAAAATCATACTAACAGAGTTCAATTCAATTCCGAACAAAATTTAAAGTACTCTAGGAATCGTCTGATTAAAGCTCTAGCAATGGCTATATCGAAGCTTTTGATTGTTTTTCTTGTCACATCTCTCCTTGTGCTCCGCCTTGTTGAAGCTGATCAGAAGGTTTTGAGTTTTGTTTCTTATATACAGCTTATTTCCTCCTTTAGATTTGAGTGTTGTCAAGTTGATTTCTTTCTCATTGTTTTTGAGGTCGAACCCTCCAAGATTACACAAAATAACATGGCATGTTTGATCGATGATTGATGCAGGTGGTGAACTCAAATATTCAAGCTGCAAGCTATACTCCTGGGAAGAATATCGGTGCGTAATTTGTTCAACCTGCCCACAGTTGTCATCAGTTGGTCAAATGGAAACTATTTCATTGGTTTATATGTGTATATATCAAGATCAAATTAAATTATTGTTTAAACATCAGCACATTTTAATAAAATTATTCTTGTATTTATAAGCAGATTGTGGTGGCGCTTGCAATGCTAGGTGTTCCTTATCCTCGAGGCCACGTCTTTGCAAGAGGGCTTGCGGGACTTGCTGTGCACGGTGCAATTGTGTCCCCCCAGGCACTTCCGGCAACCATGACGCCTGCCCTTGCTATGCCACCATGACTACCCGAGGTGGCCGACTCAAGTGTCCTTGAAATCAGCCTTTCCCTGCTGATTAAAAGTTATGCAACAAGAATAATCATATCGGAGTTTGAAGAATAGATATTAAGCTGTACTTTCCTTTCCTTTTTGTTTTTGTTTGTAATATATATTCTGGAGTTATTTGTGATAAATCGTAATTGCAAATGTAGAATTTTATTTGGAAGGTTCTGTTTTCTTTTCTTTCCTTTATGTGCACAAAACTTGAATCCAAATCATGACCAATTGATCGACCAACCAAATTCTCAAAAAAAAAAAAAATCTAACCTGACGTTCAGTAACTTTCAACTCTTGGGATGATAAACAAAATTGAATTCAAAGTTCACCACTCCGATCTTATCAAGACATTCATGCTCTTGATAGCTAAGCTCTAGTGGGCTCATGGAAGGATGGTTCTTAAGTATCTTTGTATTTTCTTCTTTGTAATTGTATTTGGAATTTTCTATCTTCTGATATATTCATTAAACACAAGATGAGTGTCATTTTAATTAAAAAAAAAGAGGAAACTTTTGAGTTCATTGAGAATCTATTTTTTTAATAAAAAAAATAACTTTTAGGTGTTGGATTCTGAAACAATAGCATTCTACACTTCTCTGTCTATCGCTCTCACTATTATCTTATTCTGAATGTCTAGGAGCAGGAATTGAATTGTGCTTTCAAGAGGCTCAAGATCTGGTCTAACTGATGTTCCAAACACTTCAGCAAGAGACATTTATTTCTTGTTGATGTAGCAGAGTATTTGGCTAGAACATTTAACTCATAAATTTATGTTAAAGAGGATATTTTAAAAAGGACACCGTGTATCAAATTATGTAAGAAAATTAAAAAGTAAATTATTGTTCAAGGAAAAGTAAATTAGAATGCAGTCTTCATTTATATTTTAAAAATGAATTTATTCATATTTTGTCTTTTTCTTTGTGCGGGACACAAATGCAACCTTAATTGAATCACTTTGAATTGCCATTCATTTACAGTAAAAAAAACTCAAAAATTGGGGTTAGACACAATTTACATGAACCCATTAGAAATTATATGGATATTTTCACCTTTACTTTTTAATTTATCTTTCTTCTAAAAGGTAAGTAAGGTAATCTTATTTCAAATTCATGTTTGATACATAATTGTTCAGGTCATATCTGCTTTATAAACGAATTAAAGATGAGATTCCAGCTCTATCATTGAGCTAATATGTAATAGAACAATCACACAAGTAATATTTTACTTGCAGCTAGTTTCGATGCTCGCACTTTTTTGTGTCGGATTAAAAGAATTTTAAATATGATAAAAAATATCTAGATAGTAAAAAATTATTTTATATTTACTTGAATTAGGGGGTTAATCTTGAAATTTTCTTATTTATTTTTTATATGATTTTAAAATTAAATTGTATAAAAAATATCTCTACATAAGCCAATTAATCTAATTAACTTTACCAATCCAAAGACATCCTAACCAATCAGTAAAAAAAAACAATTCACAATCAGTAAAACAAAACAATTCATAGATAAAATTAAAAAAAAAATTACATCAAAAAACTTATGTTCCAGCTTTTTTTTTAGTTAAGTTTAAAATTCAAAAGCAATGTAGCAAATTAATAGAAAAAGTTTAATGAAAATATTGAAAAAAATAATAAATTAATATCAAAATTCGGATTCCTACTCACAACAACTTAGTCGAATTGGAAAAAGCAGTTGGTAATAGTCATACAACTTTGAGTTTAAAATTAAACTGTGTAAAAATTATCTTAATTTAATTTAATTGATTTAATAATTAAAAATAAATAAATTAAATTAAAAAGAAAAAAAAGGAGGAAAAAGGAAAAAAAAATTATAAAAAAAAAAATCAAAGAAAAAAAAACTGCGTCAAAGAAAAAAAAACTGCGTTAATGTCAATTCTCGAGTCTAAGTAATTCGTAAATGTTTCGAATTAATGTCGTTGGCGTCCCGTAGTTTGATAAAGTAAACTTCTGTGTTAAATGACCGAGAAACTTAAATTTCGAGGTACTTGGATGCTTATATATCAAAAGAATTGGAGAGTGACAAAATCTTTAACCACCGATGACATTTTAAACAAATTAATTAGGGACAATTTTCGATTGTCTAATCAGTCGATGCACAGATTTCATCATGGAGTTTTTACTGGACATTGCCACGCGTTACTTCGAGGGTCTATATTATTTTTTTTATAAAAAATAATATTTAAATATTATCAGCATGTTTTATTTTAAAATAAAAAAACTCTATAACTCTGTAATTTAAAAGGCCCCGAGTACTCTTTTTTAAGGTAAAGTTTATTTGGAATTCCGGTCGATGATATTATGATATTTGTTTATAGAAAACCAAGCATACTAACACAATATTTAATATAGTTCGGCAAATCATCTATATCCACGGAAGAGTCAATATAATTAGAGATAAAGAAAGGATACAAAACAAATACATGAAGGAGGAGGATTATATCCACTCATACTCAACTCTCAACTCACACACCCTGCTGCCCTTTGGCAGCCTCTCTTTCTCTTTTCTTCTCTTACATACACTAACCACTTTATCTCACATTTTGCTCTCTCACGTATGCCTCTTTTATAGGCATCCATGGCAGCTCTTCTTGCTTTGTTGTCAACATTGATGGCCACCAACTCCAGCTCATTCAACAATGGTGGCTGTCAATAGTCAATGGTTGGTGTTGTCTATTTGCTGCACATGAAATGACAACAAACCTAACAATCACCCATTTGTCATTCATATGGGGCAACTGTCTTGTTGCTTCTTCAACACAAACTAAAGGATACAAAACAAATACATGAAGGAGGAGGATTATATCCACTCATACTCAACTCTCAACTCACACACCCTGCTGCCCTTTGGCAGCCTCTCTTTCTCTTTTCTTCTCTTACATACACTAACCACTTTATCTCACATTTTGCTCTCTCACGTATGCCTCTTTTATAGGCATCCATGGCAGCTCTTCTTGCTTTGTTGTCAACATTGATGGCCACCAACTCCAGCTCATTCAACAATGGTGGCTGTCAATAGTCAATGGTTGGTGTTGTCTATTTGCTGCACATGAAATGACAACAAACCTAACAATCACCCATTTGTCATTCATATGGGGCAACTGTCTTGTTGCTTCTTCAACACAAACTTGCATCTTGCAACTCTTCCAAGCTTTCCATTCTAAGAGCGTTTGTGGCCAAGTTTACAGGTACTTACCAAACCTTTCAATCATCAGAGTAACCAAAGCACACATTTTCTCACATAAAAGGATCATTATAACCAGATGGTCTGCCACATCACATCTGAATAGTTTAACGTTTGTCTCTGGAACAACATTCCCCTTCGAGCGTATCAACCATGCTCGGTCCGGAATGATTCATCAAGCCTCACATCAAGGCTTATAACACCCCCTTAAACGGATATTTCAAGTGCGACAGTCATTATCTGAGTATTTCAATATGATCACAAGCTCACCACTCTTCCAACATTTTACTCATCCAGGAGTTGCGTCTGCCCTCTGTTCCACCCTAGGAACCACGCCTTACTTCTCCATGAGTCTCCCACTCTTAGTCTCAAGAGTCTAGGTAGCTTTCCACCTTTAATCATGGGGGCAGCCCATTAAAGGTTGATCCATATATGTCTTGATACTCTAAGTATTACAATGCCTTCACCGAGCTCACCACCTTGACAAGAGTCAACTTGTTCCCGGAACCTGCGCATGCCCTCTGCTCTTTCATAGCAGCCGCGTCTTAATGCTCCACAAGTCATCCACTTATTGTCCAAGGCAAATGTTTTCTAGCTCATTGATCTTTAGCATAAGGGTAATATCCATGAAAGTCAATCCGGAATTTGTCTCCATACTCATCATAGCCATTTCATTGGCTATCCATCTGTCCACTCATATTTAGCCATCACATCGGCTCTGGGGCGTTCTGAATTGGGGCTCCTATCACGGCCCTGACACCTTCTCCCGAGGTGTCTCCTCTCGTCGTCATGCGGCGGTCTGATCATGGGTTCATCTCATAGCCCTCACACCTTCTCTTTAAGGTGTCTTCGCCTTTTATAGGCGATCGCATCCTTCTTCAATTGAGATGCTTCAAAGTGGCTTTATAAATTCTCTGCCACTGATTACATAAAAAGAGAAAGTTGCGGTATACTCCTCACAATCCTCCACCTCGATTTCTATGTTTGGAGCTTTTATGTCTTTCATCATTACACTTGACAGCTCCACCTACACCAACTCTCTTTGGTGTCTTCGCCTTTCATCATAGGAGGTCGCCTTTTATCACAGGCGATTTCACCCCTTTAATTAGGTGCATCTGCAACAGCTCATCCTTCCATCCTTGCATGCATTGAAAAGGTCCTCGCTTGTTGCCTTTATCAAGAGCACAAGAGACTTCCTGTTGTACAAATTTTTCACACAGTCTCTGCTCTGAGTTTTATCTAGGAACTCTTATTCTTCTTGCACCTGCTATCTCATTACAGTACCTCGTTGGATCCTCCGGGTACTTTTGCACAATCTCCGTGCGTCCTCGTGCATTTTATGTTCTCCAGATTTCTCTCTATTCCTTGCTTATGTTTGACAGCAGCTCATCCTGTCACAACATCTATCCAAGTCAAAATAAGGTGTCAATCTTTATCTCTTTGCTATATTTCTCTTCCATTATCAAGGTCTTCATCAATTCTCCCCTCGAGAAATTACAGTCACCGAATCTAACTTCCTTGGAGAAATCACCACTCCATCAGATCCTTGATCATACGGAACCCAACTGTTCCTTTATGTCGTCATCCTGCTAGTCTTCAACAGTTTCATAACAAACTGTCACATATACAAAAATAGTACCGTATAGATAATATTTCCACTAAGCAAGTTCCCAGGAAAGATTGGAAGGGTCACAACGGTCCCGCTTAAAACCCAATCTCCTAGCCAGAACTTCTTAGGTCATATCTATCCATCGTACTGTCTTTTCGTATATACAACCATTTGCTAGCTTTGTCGCGGCTTTCCTTTACAAGTGATCTGGGGTATCCTGGTTTTATACCTGATTTCTCAACATCTAGCAAGACTACCAGTGCTTAGATTCGTCAAGATTGGTCTTCATCAAATTTCACTCTCCACCTCGAATTGTCCACATGATCGGGTGTTCAGAGTGTCCCAATTTTGCCTTTCCTCAAGGCAATTAAAATTTT